CTGCTCAGAAAAGGCAATGATTCATCCTTTAAGAAAGCAAGAAGTGTCCACTCAGCTTCTCTAGGGAAAGTCCCATGCTGAGTTATAAAATCACACTCACCTTTGAATTTTAATTCTGTGTACACTGAAGTGGTCCTCTGACTTTTAGTTTCCCATCAAGCCTTTCTGACTTTACAGTCTGCTTCACACCACTGTGTACAGAGGAAGATCCTCATTTGTGCTCTTCTTGTTTCTGATGAAACTTGAGATTTGTTCTTGGCCTGTCTAGAATCTCCTAAACTTTGCTGGTGGGACATTCCCACAGGTCAAGACAGCACGATTTGGTGACACTCCTGAGTTCCCTTGCTGCTTAATGTACATTTTTTCTTCCCTTTTCCATATCACTCCATCCAGTCCTGAGTTTAGTGTGAAACTTGTGCATTTGTCCCCTTTAGGACACAGCTGTACCTGCCAGTGATGCAGCAATGCACCATTCCACTGAGAGCCTTATTTTAGGAAGGATTTGAACAAAATAATTAGAGATAGTTAGAAACCATACATGCAGCTAACTGAAAATTATAGGATTTTTTTTATACCTTATGAAATGTCCTGTATCAAACACATTGCCTCATCTCCTATAAATATCAAACATACAAGAATGAAAACTACCTGTAGCAGGTAGTGTGAGGCTCATCTTGACTATATTTAAGAAAGGCAACACTCCTCTGCCCCCAGTTAATGAAATCAATAAGTAATAGTGCTGTTGTCTCAAGTGTGTCAGACTTGCACTGTCAGAGACTTCATCCCAGAAAACTGGTGCTAAGAAAGTGCTTGCAAACTCATGGAAGTAATGTCAGGAAGGGAAGAGCTTGAGAGGCAGAGTCCATGTGGATAGATCTTCAAGAACTGGGGATTTCAGAGGTTATTGCTGGTGGCCTCCTGTGTACAGCACTGCAATGGTGTTACTGGTGTCTTCAATCCTCTACCTAGACAGGTAGTATGAGCCTGTGAGTGCTTGGCCCTGAGCGTTTCCAGTCTGGAAATCAACTCTGTAGATCAATATCACTCTCATCTTCAGAAAATAACAAGACACCTCCAAACACCAGAATATCACAGTGAGAAAAATCCCAGCAAAATCCCCAAGGGTCTCATGCCCGCGTTACCAAAAGGAGACACAAATTTAAAATGAAAGTCTGTGTATTTTTTTTTTCTGATGTCCTAGCATAAATAGAAGCAAATAAAGTACTTTGAATCTGACCCTGAAACTGCTGACTAATTAAAATTTGTGCTTTAATACCTCCTATTTGCCTCCACGCTGTTGTCTGCTCCATTACAATAAGCTCTGAATATGCACAGACACACCTGCTCATGCTTTCTAGTATCTCCTGCAAGGGTTTGTATTTTAAACCAAGGAGCCAGACAATGCTCAAGGGAAGAAATGTCACATTTTATAGATGGGGAACTGTGATACAGGCTGCTGCATTTCTAAGTAGCTTTCTGAACATGGATATTTGCATATTTGTTCAGAACATCTGTGACTTAAGGTTTACAAGGTTTTTAAGGACTTTGTATATCATACAACACCCTTTCCCCACAGAATCTGTCTTCTCTTTGATTCTTCATTGCCCTCAAGAAAATATTTCAAGACAGACCTTTGAACACAGAGGGATGCTCTGTGATCATGGGCTGAAATGCACAGGCCCTGCCACTGACGGAGACTACCAAACAGGATGGATCAATTCATGGTGCAGTGGGAGGTTGCTCTTGTAGACAATATTCATGTAATGTTTTGTAAAATTTTTACCACATCTTATCATACCTCCTCAGCAGACTTTCTGTCTGAAAGGCTGGTTTTTGCTTCATTACCTCTGAGCATTTCTTACAGGATAGAGTAAGAGAGTAAAGTCCTAGAAGTTATCAGTGATGTGAATTACAGATTAGACATAATGAGTTCAGAGCCCTACCCTTTCTTACCAGCAGCTCATGATGGCAGCTACTAACAACTGTTATCAAGGTATTAGTATTAGTCCAGTTTGGGATAACATTTCTCTTTTTGTGCTTCACATTCTTTGAATCGTGAGGCTGCACTGCATCCCTGCTGCAAGCAGAAGCGCCCTCTCCTGCGCAGGGGTTCATTCTGCAGGGAAAGAGGGAGAGTAGTGCCAGGCAAACCACCCCGATCCAGCAGGCACTGAAGAGATGCACAGAACTGGTATCACATCCTCTAGATCTGCCTGCAAAAGACGTGCTGGGAGATCCAGCTCTGGGTATGCTGTATGCTTCCCTGCTTGCCAGAGAGGTTAAAAAAATTATTGCATCTCTCTGATGCATTCTTCTTTGCTACTGTTAGTTTGTTTGTGCTGGTTTGAAAATAAGACGGGCATTCCAAACTTTCAGGGAACTTTGGCATCATTTCACTGTGCAGAGGAAGTTTCTTAGCATACCAGTCCCACAGTGTGAGCTGTAGAATGACAATATGCTCACTAAGAAAAGCCATTAGGTTGTGGATATTTCTGAAAGCCTGGTTCTGAGTTAGATTTCATAACTCACTACCCAGCAGAAATTTGACATTAGGTTGTACATGAGAGTAGTGAGAAGGTCACCAACTGCAGAAGAAACTTGTCACACGTAGAGAGTCTGAGTTAATTCCTATGGGATTTTGCCAGTTTTGTAGCAAAATTGTAGCAATCCTGTTGCAGCAAAATTTAATACAGAACATGAAAGCTTTTCTTAGTCAGAAATAGATTTTTATAAGTGAGTTACCGTAAAAATTTACTTTAAAAAAAATGCAGTCTTCAGATATAACTTAAAATTGATGAATAAGCAAACAAATCACATATATTGTCTTCAAAAACTAGTCTGGCCAGCTCTAGTTCATAGCCAGAAATTATTCATGTTTTATAGTCATACTTAAAATAATCAGCAATGAGCTTATATCCCAGGTACATTATAAATGTCTGAGACGCATGTAAAAATAAAATAATGTTTTACTTACACAGTAGCCCACTCTTCTTTTAGTCAAATGATGGAAATTATACCTGAGTAAATACTGAGTATAAAAGAGTGAAATTTTGTAATCCCACCCCCTTACACTGGTGAGCAGCTTACCTGCTCTGCACCTTGTGTGTGGAGACCTGGCCATCTAAAGACCAAACCAGGAGGCACAGCCTTGGTTTGGTTCTGTACTCTCTCTAACTCATTTTATAGCTTGGATTGAGCTGGGGTAGCAAGACCCATATGGGTACAGATCCAGGTGGCTGTGTTGAGACCTGCAGATCTGATGTAGCAGGTGAACCTTTCTTCACAGCACAGAGCAGCCCCTGTGGGCTCACTGGTGGTGTCTCTGCAGGAGGAAAGGGTGGAAAGACACACAGAGTAAATCCACCCCTCAGATCTGCTCTGAATAGAGCAGTGCCCTTTGCTGTGTATCTCACACTTGTGCCAGTGCTGGGACCTTTCCTTTGCCTGAGTGGTACTGTCAGATACTGTCTGACAAAAAATAGATTGTGTGCTTGAATGATCAGATCAGAAATAGTCACTTTATCTGATGGGATATTTTAACAACATGGAAGGTTTCTTGATGCCCTCACTCAGTCATAAAGCTGCTTTTCTGTTTATCCAAAGAAGTCAGCATTGGGAGTTTTCCCATGTGGATACATTGCTTGGTACCAGACCCCTAACCTTTTCAGTAATCTATCGCAGAATATTTTAGTTTGGAAAACACCTCTGGAGATTATTTTGGTAAATGTTTAAGTTAGATCACGCTGCACAAGTCTTCATCACTTTTAAATCTTTTGTTTCAGAGCGTGTCTGAACATAGAAACTCCAAAGATTTTCATCAAGAGAAGATACATAATGACATAGTAATTTAGGACAGCGTGCAACTTCACTAAGGAAGAAGAACTGCAACTCTTGCATCAGACCCTTATAGTCCCTGGCTCCCACATCTGTGGAGTTCCTGGGTTCCAGTGTTGGTTCACAGAATTGTAGAATATCCTGAGTTGGAAGCGACCTGCAAGGATCATCAAGTCCAACTCCAGTCTCTGCGCAGGGCACCTAAGAATCACATCATGTACCTGAGAGCGTTGTCCAAATGCTTCTTGAACTCTCTCAGGGTTGGTGCTGTGACCAGTTCCCTGGAGTGCCTGTTCCAGTGCCCACCCACCCTCTGGTGAAGAGCCTATTTCTATCATCTAACCTCAGTCTCCCCTGACTCAGCTTCAGGACATCCCTCAGGTCCTGTCCCTGTCACCAGAGAGGAGACCAGTGCCTGCTCCCTTGATTCCCACCATGAGGAAGCTGTAAGCCATGATGAGGTCTCTCCTCAGTCTCCAGGCTGAACAGACCGAGAGACCTCAGACACTCCTTATCTCCTCCCCTCCAGAGCTTTCAGCATCCTCATGGCCCTTCTTTGGTTGTTCTTTAATAGCTTAATGTCATTTTTATATTGTGGCTCCTAAAACTGCACACAGGACTTGAGGTGAGGCCTCACCAGCTCAGTGCAGAGCAGGACAACCCCTCCCTCAACACCCACTTCTTGTCAGAGGAAAATCATCAGAGATGTTTAAACTCATCGAGGTCAACAGCTGACTTCCATCCATATCAGTCAGTTCAGAAGCCTGTACCTCTGGTTCCTCCTAAACTCACTGCTATTATTCATTCAGGTTTGCTTTCAGACTATGAAAATCCTGAGGTTGGGGTGATTTGCATTTGCATCTTCAGAATGAGCCACCAGTGCTCTCTCTGGCTGGCAGGGGCTGGCAGCAGCCCTGTTCTGCTGCTGCAGAATTCTTTAGCAATTGAAAGTTACAGATATTCAGCACCTTCCAAGTCTCTCCAGAATACCTTAGAGGATTTGATCTCTGACATGCATATAAAAATAGAAATCCAGAATTTTTTAATTAGTACCACAACAGAATTTCACGTTCTTCCAAGAAACAAGCTCCAATTCTGTATTATGTGGACTACTTTTGAAGACAAAACCATTTCACATATAAAATACCAGAGGAGCCATTAAATAATTAAAAAATGAAATATGTAATAAATATAATAAATTGAGGATATATAATTTTGGCATAATTGTTCTTTACAAAAGTGTAAGACTATATAAAAATAAAACATAATATACAGAAATATCTATGGCAATTTTAAGATAATAAAAAGCATTGTATTTATATTGACTGGTTAATATTAATTCAATGCAGAAATGTCAACGTCAATAACAATTTCAACATGTCACAGAAATACAACAGCACAGATTAAATGGAATGATGCTATGAAACACTCTACAAACTTGTATTCAAACTGGCTCATGATCTGTCTGTTGAATCCCATAAAAATATGAAGTTGTTTAGACAAACATTGCCAGATTTGTATCATTCTTATTTTTTAAATTCTTGTTTGAAGGCACAAGGAACTACTATCAGCAAGTTATTTATAATAGAAGTGGCAGCAGCAGCAGTGAAATTTGCCCCAGCATGTCTGAGGGAGTTCTCAGCTGTGGGGAGGAAGGATTGTGCTCTCCAGACTGCCAACCTTCCATACCATCTGTGAGCCTACCCATAGCTGCTACAGACTCCTACACAGTAAAAGTGGGATCAGTAACAAAAGGGAAGGGTTAGCTTAGTCACAAACTAAACATGAGTTCAACAAACATTTGGAGATGGCATAAAAGCAGTCCCTGACTCCACTTGGATATGTATACATTTTTTGTATATTTCAGTGCATTCTAGGTCTGACTGCAAAACAAATAAAATTTACTGATTGTAAACTATCAAGCATTAGAATTGTACATTTTAAGAATTTCAGGGCAGTGCAGGATCTTGACTAATGCAGCAGCAGTACTGTTGCTCTGTGTTATCAGGCATTTTTTTTGCCATCTAATTCTCCTGGAATGTGTGATGTACCTGAAGTCACATACTAGAGTCCAAGGAAAATGCTCAAAGCTCTTGTTGAAAGACTTACTCATTTTTAATATTTTCCACTGGTTAACCACAAATGTTAACAGCAGAGCACATGTGTAAGAAGTGGAACATGCTCCTCCTCATGCTTACCATGAAGAGGAACAGATGGTTAGAAGCAAAAATTCAACATTAAGAATAGTACCTTGTTTTCCTCACCAGTGCTTTTTAAAATTTTGCTCAGAAGATAAAACTGGTTTTATTTCATGTGAGAAAAAGAGTTGGTCCAAAAGAAAAAAGCTTTTAAGATCCCATGTTGAGTCAAAGTAAATTACTTTGTTTATTCCATGCATCCTCAGTAAAGCAGTATTTTCACCGGTGATACTGGTGGGCAAAGTTTATTGTAGGAGACAAACAGAAATGTGAATTATTGCTCCCATAGTGTCCTCAAGGAGTTAAGGACCCATGCAAGATATGCAAGGTGATGTCAGCATGTAAAAACTTGTGTCCTGCAGCTGGGATTGGGAACTTCTTACTTGTTCCAGCAGCTACCAGCCTAGCTGCCACTTTCCTGGTCTCTGCCACTGGTACAGACCTTCTGAATGTCAGAGGAATCTGTCATTTCTTTGTTTTCTTTTCTTTGGCCCCCTTCCTCTGGTTCTTTTGGCATTTCCAATTTTCTGTTGTCAGTATTGTGATCAGTGGATGAATTTAGCTTGGATGAGTTCCATCTCCATCTTCTCAGGCTCCTGTAACAGTCTTTTCTAACATTTTCACTGACCAGAACATAGAGGATTGGATCAGCAACACCATTTGCAGTGCCTAAACACAGAAACACTGTAAAAACTGAATATATCTTATTTTCAAACGGACATGGGCAGTCCTGATGAAACATAAAGTATATGGCTCTTATTATGAGCACCACATGATATGGAGCAAAGCAGATCAAGAAAATAACAATAATGGCAATAGCCACATACTTCACTTTGGCTTTCTGGCGGCAAGTCAAGCTGCTGCTTCTTTTGATAGCTTGGAAAATTTTGTAGTTTGTAAAAATCAGGATTGTGAAGGGTATGGCAAATCCAAACAGGAATCTAGCGAAGCTGAAAGAAGCCAATAATATGTCAAGGGGCACTGTCTCAAAGCAGGTTTTCACCTCTGTACAGTTTTGCTTATCTTCCATGTAAAATACCGGAGTGTGGATTCCTGCAACCACAGCAAAGAGAAAACAGACTATTTTGGTGGCCTGTTTCTGTTCTCTTCTCCCCCTTGATTCCACAGAATACACCAGTGCCACGTAACGATCCACAGAGATGCAGCACAAAAGCAGAATGCTGATGTAGATATTGCAGAAAAAGATGAATCCTGTTATTCTGCAAGCAGTGTCACCCATGGTCCAATTGTGCCCATTTTGCACATAGATAATCCAGAGAGGCAAGGTACTTAAATACATCAGATCACACAGTGATAAACTGAAAATGTAGATGGCAACGACTTTATTCCTTTGGATTTGTACAAACGTAAGCAGAGAGGTTAAGCAATTGGCTGGAAGGCCTATAGCAACAACGATGCTGTAAACAGCAACCAGAAATGTCTGACTCTCCTGATAAGGAAGTTCTGGGCAAGTGGAGTTACAATTTTCGTGTAGACAACGTTCCATTATTCTTTTTCCAGCTGGTATTTCCTGAGAATCAGAAGACAAGGTGGAAAGTTAGCATTGCATCACTTAAAAATGTGTCAGTAAAGGTTATGGTGCCATAGGTGCCAACTTGACATGTCAGTGGAACAATTAGGATGGGGCTGATTGAAAGCTTCCTCCGCAGGCATGAACTGAGAAAGAAAGGGTCACATCCCTCCACCTCTGAGAGTTGGACTAGGTTCTGGTAGCTATGTGGAAGCTCTCTCAAGGGGGATCTGAAGTTTTGTCCCTGGACATAAAATTATCCATCTCCTTTTTGTCAGTTCCCATTCTAAAATCATATTGTAAATGATAAAACTGCCATAATTCCTTATGCCAAGTATCACCTACACCCAAAATCTCACATGGGGATCAGCCTACAAAAATAAGGCAGATGAATATGAAGTTGAAGACCAGCTTAGACATATTTGAAAAAAAAAAAAAAAAGCTGGGTTCAGTATTGTCCCATCTTCAGAATGACTGGAGAAAAGAATTCTCACTGCAGTGTGGAGAAGATGGCACAGTACTCAGATCAGTGACAGGACCTGAGGGAATAGCCTGAAGTGGTGTCAGGGGAGGTTTAGGCTGGATATTGGAAGAAGTTCTTACCCCAGAGAGTGGTTGAGCTGGTGTTAACTTATGAGTATGGTGGTTGCAATAAGGGCTGGTAGTGGCAATTTCTTTGCTGCCTCCTAAGCATCTGTCACCTTTGGTGGAGAAGGAGGGGTCTCTTCTGGGCCACCTACCAATCTGCTGTGTAGAAGGGGTAAAAAAGGTGCTTGATTTCAGGGTCAGCAGTGGTTCTCTGCCCAGGCCTTGTCTGTGAACTGACATACAGAGCTTGTCCTCAACTTAAACACACCTGGTGGTGTGAGAGCTGCTGTACACCTGCACACCACAGAGGGTCTTGGAGACCTCCCTTTCTATGGTAAAGCACAACAGGTGAATATGGCTCATAGTCAGGCAGATGATGACATCCAGGGCAGGGAAATGACAGAAGTCACACACCAGTTACTCATCAGCTTGTCTACCCCACACACCTCAATAAAAACACCTTCAGGAGTGGTAAAGGATGCTCTCTCCTTCCCTCCTCCTGGCTTTGCACACTTCTCTTGATCCTGTGTCTGAATATTCTCCTTTCTGTAGGGCAGTCAGTGATGGTGCAGGGCAGGAAGCAGTAGAAGAGTTCTGTGGACACATGGCTCCTAATGTTTGTTTGGTTTTTTTGTTTGTCATGCCTCCTCCCCCCTCACTCACTTTTGCTCCAAGTCTCCTTCCCATGCTCAGCACCCATGAGGGAGACTCAGTGTTACCCTGATTTTTAAAAGTGTTTTCTTTTATAGTTCTTTTTAAAGTTTTAAAGTTCTCATAAAACTTCTTTAGCCTTCTGATAATGTTTACATATTTCTACTAGAGTTCTCACACACTGTTCATGTAAATAATGGTTGTTTTGCATTTTTCTTTGTGAGAGGAGAGAATTAATAGACCGTTGGTTTGACCAGTGTAGTTGGAGAGGTGGCAATTTCATCCTCCAATCCACTGCCACTTTTGGAATTCTATGTATTGCGAGGTCAGAAATAAAATTAGCTCTTTTTCTCTCTTGAACTCACCAAGCTCCTGTGTACTCATTTCATGTCCAATAGCGACACTTCAGGAAGGTGATGCCTTTCTAAGGCATCGTTCTAAGGTGACTTTCTAAACTGCCTGCCTGGAGGTAGCTGGAGCAGGCATTTTTCCTTGGTGTTTGGCACATGGACTCAGCCCCAGGGCTTAGCTGACCCAAGAGACCTCCCCTGTAAAAGTCTGCCAGCTGCCAGGCGCGGTGCCTCAGCTGACAAAGGGCAGCCCTGGGCATGGACTTACACTTCTAAAGAAAATCAGGTGCTGAAGGACTGTCCTGAAGCTTTGGCCTATCAGTCTGGGAGTTTGTATCCTTCCCAGCAGGAGTGCTCTAAGCACCAGCCAAATATAAGGCAGGAGGAGAGGAGGCCACCCATTTGCTCCACTCCTCACCTTCTCCAGGGAACTTCTCAGCCCTGTCCAGGGAAGAGGTTTCTTCCCCTGGCCACTGCATCCACCCCCAGTTCAGAGCTTCACTCGCCTCCCCTCGGTTCTCCAGGCCTGCAGAGAGGTTTCCCCCTCACACTGAAGATCACGAAGCAGCACTCAGCAGACAATTTATGACATTTCTCCTGGTGACATTTCTTTTGTGTTGACGCACCCATAAGGGGAAGGAAGTAACACCACAATCCACCCTTTGACTAAAGTCAACTTCTCTGTGCCTCTACAGCCCTCTTCAATTGAAAGCACATTCCTATCTTCTAAGACCTTTTGAGTTCAATAGTTTGATGTTTGGCTCAGCCCAGACAATTCCCAGTTCTGTCTTCCTCTGGGATGTTGAGACTAACCTGCATCTTAAATATTAATTCAAATGAAAAACAGTAATAATTACACAGCTGAAAAAAACTAGACACCATTTTCTTTAATATTTGTGATGATCACGTTTGGTTTGAACACCAGAACTCAAGAGATTTATCACACCCAGCAATTTTCAAGCATTTATAAAGAGTAAAATATTGTGATTATGACAAGGATGAGCAATATCCAAGAATGCATTTGTATTTGAGATACAAATTGTTCCAATGAGTTATCTTTGCTGTTCTGTATCCTTCAGTTGAGCAAAGACTCTCCTAAGCAGCTGTTTTCACCTTTTTGTGGCCTATCTTGATGTGCTAGGTCTCACTGTAACACTTAATCATAAGTGTACTGGCTGTGTTTTGCATCAGCAGCTCAATGTATTTTTGTCAACACTCTGAGGTTTTTTGCTCTGTGAGAGTCTCTGCATGGGACAAACTGCAGTTGTCATGTGCACGATTCTCACTTTCAAGATGTGCAAACATCTCATCTTCCAGGACAACGAGATCACAAAACACCTGAGCACAAATCACTGGAAGATGGGGTAATCCTCTAAAATTTTCTGCATGCCTGCTCTGTATTTACACTTTTCCATTTCTAATATTCTTATGCTGTCTTCATGCTGTTAGACAACTGTTAGATTATGCTGTTAGACAATTATGTTCCATACTCCTAAAATGCAGTGGCTCCTGCTGCTCATTTGGGCCAGTTGCATAAATCTTTTCTCAATAAAAGTCTTTTCAGTAATACCGAAGTGTAAAAAAAAAGGGAAATGAAAACAAACAGGAAAGTAAAAGGCTTTAATTTTTTTTTTGTTATTTGTGTATGAGCTACTCATATGAAACTGCTTAAATTTCCAAAGGAGAAGTTGGAGTGATAAAAATAGCTGCTATTAGAAAAAGTAAAAAACGAATATTACAGACATGGTTACAAGGAAGAGAAGTATAAGTCAAAGAAATCATAATAGTTGGACAGAGACTGATTGAAAGTCTTTGGAGTAACTCACCTGAGATACACAGGGACAGAAGAAAAAAAAGGACACGGTGAAATTCAGAACATGAGTACAATTGCATGAGCAAAGCACATTAATTAATATTTTTTAAATTTTCTAATATTTTTCTGATCATCCATCTCTTCCAGGGATTATTGTTTGAGCCAGAAGTTTTGAGGCATTTATGTGGATATCAGGAATGATGTGAAATAGCTGCTATGAGGGTTAAAATAAAAACAAACTTTCCCTTCACACTTTCCTTCCTGTCCCCAATATCTGTAGAGGAGAGCAACCTGCGTGTCTCAAAGCATAAATCACAAATCAGTGATTTGTGCATAAATCAGCCTTCAGAGAAAGAGGACCCGAGTTTCTCCTGAGGGATTTTTTGTGCTTTCCTTAGCAGAATGTGGTGCAGGAAGGATTTGACACAAGGGTGCCAGCAGGATGCCAGTTGGACACTCAAATCTATATTGAAACACATCAGTTGCCAGATGTGACATTTATGCCACCTACAGTGCTCATCACCAGCAGTGTCACTCCTCCAACGTCTCAGCCTGGGCTTCTCCTCATGCAGAACTTGCACTACCTGCCTCTAAATTATCAGCTGATAAACTTTTGTGTCTCTTAACTTGAAACTAAGAAATTGTTGTGGATTATTTGCTCCGCTGTTCTTGAAAGAAGGAAAAATGTTTATGGTGTTTTTGAATAGAAACAGATCATGACCCATATGCCCAGCAAGTCAGTGAACTGCTTTATTTTTTTTTTAATATTAATAAACAAATTAGTAAATGAAGTCACTCCTATAAGCAAATTTCAGCATAAAAAGGAGAAACTGCCATGGCTTCACTTGGTTACCCATCAGACCAATCATTTTTACTGACACACACAACACAGTGGGATTTGAAGCTGTGTAACTTGAAATTTGAACATAAGCCTGTGTATTTTCAAGCAACTTCATTTCAAATTTGATCATAATATATGAATATATAATCTTGGCAATATATAGTTTCAAAACTCTTTTTAGAAAAAAAAGTGTTTTAAAGCTATCCTGGGAATCCAGTCTGAGCACAACTATATCCTAGAATATCTTTCTTCCACCGGTGAAGAAAGATTCCTCTCTTGCTTAGTGCTGGTTAAAACAAGTTTCAGCATTTGTAGGCTGAAAGCAGCAAGACCCTGAGATTAGTTATACAGCCTTTATATTTAATTCTGTATTGCAGATATGAGATATAATGCAGATATATGTTGTTTTATAAAGATATTAAAATTAAGATAATAATAAATATAAAAAATAAAGAAGATATATGGTAAAAGAGAGAAGTTATTAATCAACTGCCTTTCATGAGGGGAGGAGCTCAGCAGTCTTTTCTGAGGAAGGAAAGATACTTGATTTACCTCAAGATAACACTGTTCATAGATGTGAACTCTCAATGACTGTAGATTTTTAAACACCTAAGTGCAGGTTTTTACATAAATCCATACATCCACTTCCCTCTTCCCACAATCTAGCACACAATTAGTGTACTAATTAGCTAAAATGAGCAGCTGTAGTATTACTAAGGGGAACTGTCATAATTCAGGTTTGACGAAGGCCCAGTTTGAAAAAGTCATCCTTCCCTAATGTGAGTGTCCTTGTGCCATGCTGCCTGGAGAGGGACTGCACAGGAGAGAAGAATGTATGGTGGGTATGAGAAAATGCTGACAAAAGATCCTTTGCTGGGTTTAAGACCACATTATTCAACATTTATAAAAGCAGGGAAAACTACTTAAACATTGTAGGGTGGGGAAGTCCACAGGTGAAAGACAGACCCCAAAATCCACCTGTACCAAGGGACTTTGGTGTCATGATTCAAAGGCTGTGAGTCAGGATTTTGGGACTTCACATCTAGCAAAGTGTCTCAGTCGTCCCTGAGAGCATCAGACTGCAGCTATTGCAGGGCAGATTTACTCCCTGGTACCCACCAGCTTGTGTGGAAAAGATCCCAGAGCCAGAGGAATGGCTCCAAGGCCATGAGAAGCATCAGGAGGCCCAGAATATCTGTCATAAATTTGAGGCTAAACTGTAAAGCCTGTCAAGTCAAAAGGCTGAGGTAAGTGGAGGTGTTGGAGCAGCATCAGTGAAAGTGAGCAACTGAGAGCAGCTCTGCTTCACACCTGAAACCACCAAGCACCCCAGCCCAATGACTCCCTAAAGCTATTGCAGCTTAATTGGTGGCCTTAGCATTGGGGGCTAGTTGTTTATAGCTTCTGTTAAAGAAGTGGCTCATTTGGAAACCCAGCTGACTAAACTTGCCTACTGGCTTGTGCTGGAACTACAAAGTTTTAGAGGAAGAGGATGAGAGTGGTGATTTCCATTCCTCTTTCCTGCATCAGGGTGCTCAGGGATGTTGAAGCACAGCCAAGTGCCAGCAGGTTTGGCACTAAGTGCATTCAAGTGGATGGACACTGCTCTGGATTGCCAAAAGATCAGTCTGGGATGTTGGAGAACAGGATGGGATATCAGGGAACAGGATGCTTTAACAAGGTAAGGAGGTCTGGCTGTGCTGACACACTGTTAGAGATGAATGTGTTTTATTGCTAGGTTTAAGGAAAATCTGACTTCAAGCAGCTGAACAAAGAAGCACCAAGACCTATGTCCAAACCCACCAGTGTTCCCCTTAAAAAGGGGTGCTCTGTTATCCTTTAGATTTTAGGATTTCCCCAGCAGCTACTTATGGATATTATCCTCCTTATCCTTGGCCTCCAGGCCTTCAAACAGACTCCTGCCAAACCTTTGGCACCTGCAGTTAGCACTAAGAGCCATAGAAGGGCCCAGACCAGTGCCATGTCCACCCCAAACTACTGTGACTCAGATTCATCTCTGGGGTAGAAACTGTTCAGGTGGAGTTGCTGAACATATTCATAACCAAACACATCTGATCAAACTCCCACACCCACAAGTGTCCCCTCTTCCTGCACTGACACCTTCACTGCAGTCATTACAGGGATCCCACAGGCTCTTTCTGCATCCCCAAAATGGGTTTGTCTTTCATCCCTGATAAATCCCCCAGTCAGAGCATGGCTGAGCTGTGCTGCAAAGGGTGAGCACAGATAGGATGGCTTCTCTTTCTGGAGCAGGAGAATGTGAACATTGTGTTGAGCTTTGACCTTGTGACAGTAGATTATCTCTCCCTGATAGGGGTCTTGGCCCTGCCCTCCTGGGTCTGTACGGAAGCTGCTGTGGTGGCATCATCAGTACTAAAGATGGTGCTGGGGAAAAACAGAGCAAAGAGGTGCCAAAATAATTTAATGATCTGTCAGACCTGGGCTTATTGACATTATGGCTACTACTGACTAATCTAGGTTGTTTCATCTTAAAATTGTTTTACTTTTGTCTAAAGTGGATGTCTCTGAGCAAGTAGGATTTGTAAAGCCTTGCGAAAACCACAGTGCCTTTTTTACTTGGAACAATCCTATTTTTCAAGGAGACAAATATTTTCTCCTTCTCCATTTACCATGAAACACAATTTATTTGCTCCATTTTGTCCTCTGATTTGCTCTCAGCTAATTGGAGAACTTCCATTTTGCTTTTTGACATTTAGGTCACCTCCTGTAGCTATCTCACCATACCAAGAGCAGGGCTTTCCCCTTAAGACTTTAGTGATACCAAAAAAACTGTCACGCTCAAAGATTCCTCTTTGCATGTACACGCACCTCTGACATCTCTGTGACCACACTCCTGCTAAATCTGTGGTGTTTTGTCTGAATCCTCATCTCTGATGTCTTCTGGCTCTTTATACGTCTGCCACAATGAATATCTCATTCTCTGTTGGCACACTTAGGGTCTACCGTGGAAGTTATCAGTGTAAAATTCCTGGTTATTAGATATTTCCCAAAGCATCCTGACACTTGACAGCAAAATTATTTCTGTGATCATGGTGAGGCTGTAAGATCAGTATCTCCCAACAGGCTGAACCTGAAAGAGTCATCTGCACTTTCAGGCAGAAATCTGTACAGAGGGGGTGCCCAATTCAAACTTTAAATTTCTTTAAATATACTGTCCTGTGTAGAGAACTTTGTAAAACTTCTCAGAAGAAAATCAGTCTTGCCCATTGTGTACTAATGAGCAGAATATGAGCAGAATAAGTGCTTGAGGGTTTTTTTTTGTTTTGCTTTGTTTTGGTTTTTTTTTTTTTTGTTTCACCCCCACTCCCCTCTTTCCCTCTTCCCCACAATGAACTTATGGAAGTTAAAGAGCTCCAGGTTTAGAGGCAGCAGCAGCTTTAAATGGGATTATGAGAAGAACAGCTTTAAAATAAACCCAGATGCTCTTTGGTCTTTGGAAAAGTAGTCAACTCTGAAAATATTTGACAAAAAAAAAAAGTTAATTTAAACTCTAGTTAGCCTCCACATCTCTGAGTGCCAGAGATCAGCAGTGCTGTGTGAATAAAAGGTGGAGAAAAAGAAGGAATGTAGTGTATCCAATTAGTCTTTATAGACCAGCAGGTAAACTTGACAATTAAATGCCTGCCTTGCTTTTCCAGCATAGTAAGGATGAGAGGAAAGGCTGGATGAGAATTCTTCTGAAAAGAAACCCAGCATTCATATTGCTATTTTAATTCTGTATTCATGGCTCATGCACTGCAGTAATAGCTAAAGCTCACCTCACAGCAACTTCTATTCTGCCAAAATCCTTAAATCCTAATAATCATCTATCCCTGACTGGAACTAAAGTTGATTTCTAAGAGAAATATGTTTTTTATAGGAAAGGGAATTCGTAAGGAAGACAGGTAGGAGGGGCTGCATCAACTACAATTAATTAATACAGACCCAGCAACTACATCAGGCACAAGGAGATTTAGACTACGGTGAGGCATCAACACAATCTGCATTTCTTGAGCACAGACACACAGCATGGAGAGACAGTGACCAAAACAGAACAAAGGAAAATGCTGCTAGATAGAAGCAATGCTTGACACAGAGATGGAGCACTTACCTTTTATTTTTCCTTTTTCCCCCCTGTTTTTGCAGAGGAGCTGACGGAGTGCTCCAGCTCGTGCCGTGCTCAGAGGCTGCTCTGACAGAGCTGCAGGAAGTAGCAGAAGATACCACGTGCAGTTCTGAGTGCTGTGGGCTAAAAGAGCTTCTGTGGGCACAGCTTCGAGTCCCCAAAAATGTGTCACTCTTCACTGGGTGTGCACAGAAAGCAGAGGCTGCACAGTGCCAGAAGAGAACCTAGGAGGAGAAGCAGCCTTAAAAATGAAGTGTTTGCTGTCAAATTCTGTCACTTGTACAGGAGTGAGAGACAGTTTGTGACTGCCAGACTCTGGTTTGTGCTCCTTGTGCTGGATGTGCACCTAAATCACTGCAAACATGCCCCAGAGAGACAAGGGACCAAGGAACCCTGTGGCTCCACAGGGGCAGAGCACCTGCAGGAGGTGCTGATTCCTATAGTGAGGGAAATTCCCTCTCTGGGAACGAACTCACCTGAATATGTGTGAGTTGGCTGGGTGTTGAAAAGTGGGAAACAGTATTAGAGCCCAATAAACAGTGTGGTGACAGGAGGGAGAGCCTATTCTGGTGCCAGCTGGGATAGAGAAGGCTGAGAATGCTAAAGAAGATTTGATGGTGGGTTGAACACCCTCTAGAAGAAGAATTGAGTTGCAGGAGTTCCTTAATAATGAAGAGCATTGATAAGAAGGAGTGCATGATCTTTACCAAGTGCCCTAGTTCAGGCTTTATGTGAAGGAGGAAGAAGATCCCAATGTTACATTGCCAGCCTAGACCTTGTTTGTGAGACCCATTCCATGTATTTTTGTGGATGCTGTGTGTCACTCAGTCAAAGTCAGTTATGAACAGATTTATTAAGTTTTCAGGGAACTTCTCCATCAACTCCTAGCAGTTCCACTTGCAGTGAGGTGCTTACAGGACCCCATGAGGGTCTGTCAGTGCTTGCAGACTGCTGAGGGCTAAGGTGGGACAGGAAGGAACCATAGGGTAGCAACCTAAGGCATGCAGAGAACTGAATTTACTTTTGGTATCTGTATTGAAAGTTAAACATTTTTTCTGAAAATTAAAGAAATGCTTGGTATGTACTTCCATTCTGGTGTGAAAAAATTGCTTTGGTTCTGTTCTGGTGAAGGTTTCTGGAGATGAGTCTTTCTGTAAAGAAAAATTTATTTCAGGAACCAGAAGGAATTGGGGAAAAAAGAGGCTGAAGCGGGTTTCCATCTGTGGAGGAGAGTAGGTGAAATTTCTGTCTGTACCAGCTCAGCTTGACTGGACATATTGCTGGAACCTGTCTGTGCACTGCCTCAAACATGTGATTTCATGTTGTTCCTTCTCTGTGTAGAAATCAAACCCAAAGGAAAACACAATGAAGGAATAATGTTTCTGAGATGACTGCAGCTGATTTGTCTCTGTATTTCATTCAGATATGTGGGGTAGAGAAGAGCAGAATGCTCTCAGACCTGAAGAACTGGAGTTTTCACAGAGACCAGGGGGCTCCTCTGTGGTATTTGTGATGTACCAGCTCACTGTTCCCATTTGGCTGCAATCAGCTGTGGGGTCGAATTCCTGCCTGATTGTTTTCTCCCTGATGTCAGAGACATATTTGCATTTTCCAGCTGGATTTAACAATGAAACTTTGAAAATTGCATGGTCCTCCATAGGGAAATGAAAGATGAGACATCTCTGTGGCCTTGAATCTTCCAGTCAGACTTGAAAAATATTACTATTTATCTTCTTCTTCATGCTTCTCTCAGTAGTACAGCCCCAACTGACATCACCCACAACCATTCCCCTGCAAGATGAAGACTGACACAAGATTTCATGTTGGAAGATGCTTTCAGAAGCCTTTGACAAGATCTTCTGTGGCTGAGATGAACACCAAGCTAGACCTTCTGTGGGTGGCAAAACCAAACCAAATGTTTCAAGTAAGTTTACTCTGGTTTTGGTAGAGATAATACAAGCAGTACAGCAATATAAATTTTGGTCTGAGCTGCATTGTACTGATATCTCATCTAGTCAGTAACAGAAGATCAGATGAAGAACTATTTAAAGCAGAATGCAGAAAGTCTCTGGCCAAATCCAGCTGAAGTAAATGGGAATGTTTCTTTTAACATCAGTGAGTATAGATTGGGCATTTTGAGAATATTTCTTTCTGCAGTTTAATTTCTGGGTGCTATTTAGCTAGTTGCCTTTAGGTTGCGTGTTCAAGCAAGGTAAGCTGCATAAGTGATGTCTTCTATTCACTCTTCATCATTTTCCTGCTGAGGTACAGTAACTGTCAAACAGAAAGAGAGAAAAGGGTCCAGCCCTGTTTTAACTCAGTTCTATATAACACAGATTTTTTTTTTTTTTTTAATTTTCACAGCACTGTGATAGAGAAATTGCTTATGCACCTGATTAGAAACAAGAATAACTGTGGAAGACTGATGGGATCCAATGTGTTCGAAAGACTTTTAGACTTGAGTTTTTCACTCCTTTTTTTTTTTCATTTAGAAACTATCAAGAGAAAAACAGGTAAGATATTTCTCTGTTCCACTGCATATGAAAATACTCTGTGTTAATGTTATCTTCCCTTGGTTGTGACCAACAAGAACCTATAAATGGAGGAAATGTCAGATCATCTGCCTCTCCTTTCTCCACCTGCAATTGAATACAGGGCTGTGGTCATACATTGCAAAAGATTACCTAGGAAGAAAATTTTATGCATATTTTTGTATAATCTTTATAATATTTTTAACCTTTCTGTAGGTAACCAAGGTTCTTTTTATTTTATTTTTTTTATGATAGAATATGGCTTTAAATTTGCAGCATGGGAGGTGAGGAAATGAAAACAGTATCTTGAAGTACAGGTCTTGGTAGGAAACAGCCAAAGGTCTGTCTCTTCTCCTGTTACCATGCAGTGCACTACATGAGAGCAGAGCTGCAGACCAGTCTGGGGAGTGCAGCATATACAGGATGGCAAAAAGGACTTTCTTAATCATAAGCAAGGCAGGAAAGTGCCCAGGAATCTCTAGGACAGCAGTGTCCAGGGGCTAAGAAGCACTGAGCACTGAATTTTGCTCTGTGCTCCTGTGGCCAAGCACTGTATGAGTGCCCCTGCACTGGTGTGATCCACAACTGTGTCCAGCAGAGAATCTCAGCAGCTTGTGGTTCAGATTTGAGCTGTCTGTGACAGTGGCTGTGATGCTGTTGGTTTGGGACAAGCACAAAAGCTGGCCACGCTGCTTTTTCAGTCTATATCAAGACCAACCACATCTTGGATCCCTCATGGTATGTGTTAAAATGCTGCTAAAACTGAAGCTCAGCTTCCTCCCAGCCACTTCCTACCTGCAGAGTCTTTCCCCAGCACACGAGGTGCAAACACGTGCCACCCTAGCAGCCAGGCCAGCTGAGCAGCAAAAGCACTGAGCTGAGCCCAGCACAGAGCTTACACAGATTCTGTCTGACCATGCACACCCAATCCATAGTGTACAGTCTGCAGGGAATGCAGACAAGTCCTGCTGCTGGAAATTAAAAACACAGGGCAGTCACTTCCTAAGATTTTTGATTGGGTGGCTTTCCTACAGTGATGGGTGGGATGATACAGTCAGATTCCTGCTGCTTAGTCAGGCTGCTTGCATTTCATGTCTGTGTTGGAAAGCCTACCTGCTTTAAGTTTGCCTGGTTTTGTGTGTGGTGTGTAGAAATGTGGCAGTTCTCCTTTTTCACTGGTGTAGTGATGTACTGTGTGCCTCAGGGGTGGAAATCCACTAAGTTGAATGTGACTGATCATGCCCTCATCAAGGAAAGGTCTCTCACTCTGAAGAGAAAAGCTCTCTCTGTGTTTGACAGTCCTACCCTGTCACATGCTGGGATTGATATGGTCCCTGTCAGGAGCTTGCTGGCAGAGCACAGCTGGTTGTCACACAGAGCTTCTCAGAGACCTTTGACACCACTGGCTTGTCTGAGGCAACAACAGCTTCATCCTCTGAGTGGTAAGAGTGGACAAGTGGAGAGGTGCCAGTCTGTGCCTTAGGGTCCTTGGGATGAGGTGGGATTATATCCAACAGCTTCTTTGGGACACCCTGCTGCCAGTGGTGTGGCCAAAGCTGAGACAGCGAGTGTGCTGCTGCAGCTCAGGGAATTTGGCTCCAAACTTTGAATTCAATCTCTGAACATGTGTGTTCCCAAGCATCCCAGCCCATCCACTTTGTCCTTCTGTTCAGCTCCAGCTGTTGGAATAAAAGGAAACTGAAAACATAATGAGTTAGCAGGCACCCATCAGTACCTGCCATGCTGCGCCGGGCTGGGCTCTGCTGCTCACGCTGCACGTGCAGCCCTGTGACAGACACGTCTGGCTTTCTTTTCTTGTGATAACCCCTGATTTTACTGAGAAACTCCAAACCCACAGGGGCAGAAAGGTTACGGTTGTTAGTGCATGGGGAGGAAAAGGGTGCGGTTCACAGAATACTCACTTAGAATATTTTACAAAGTCAAAGCACCAGCAATGCTGGGCCAAGACCTGAAACTGGGTTTAATCCTCACAGATCAGAGAGGAGTTCAAGCTGGTTTTGCATCTTGTGCAAGCAGCTAATATGGCTACCCTGAGCTCTGTGCTCTGCAGGGCTCTTATGTTTTTGCCTATTAAATCTCAGGTTAATACAAAAACTGTGTCAACCGTGGAAACAAAGTCACAAAATCCATCCTCCCATTCCAAATCCCGAGGGAGTGGAGTGGCTGAAGAACAATACAGCTGAATTGGCTGAATTGACATACACAGAAATGCCTTGGACAAACCTGGGGTTCAGATAAACCAAATCTCACTCAAACACTCTGCCATAAGTCCAAATATTTTTTTCGCTACTGTTGTTTCCCCCTTAGCCTCCTTCAGTTTGCTCTGCAGCCAGGCTGGACCCAGCTGATGCAGCAGGGATTCAAAGGGATTTGGTGTTTCCATTGCATCAGCTCCTCCTGCTGTGGTCAGAGACCCTCTCTGCTGGTTCTCCATGGCAAAGCTCACAGCAGTCCACCCTGCAGAGCTGCACCAAACCCCCGGAGGTGGGTGGCTGTAGGAAGCTGGTGCCCTGCTAGGGGAGGATGTCACAGAGCTGGCAGGTGCCCGTGGGTGACCCCAGCACGTCTGTGCTGGGGCTCAGCACCAAGGGGCACCTTAGAGAACAGCCACAGACAGGAAAGCAGGAAACGTTTTGCAAAGCAGAGATAACATAGAAATAATGCTCTGTAAACGGTTTGATTTACTGATTTACATGTACAGGGGCTGCCATGTAAGCATGCAGGAAAAGGAAATGGAACAGAAGAGGAGGGGGAGGAAAAAGGCAAG